CTTACCCGAGGCTAAATACCCGCATATACCCAGGTACTCACCCGATGCAACTTACCCGCAAATACCCAGATACTCACCCGATGCAACTTACCCGCATATACCCAGGTACTCACACAAGGCTTTTTTTCTCGCAATACCCAGGTACTAACCCGAGGCTAGTCACTCACATATACGAAGGCACTCAATGGATGCGCGTTACTTGCATATACCCATGGCAGGTACTCAGCCAAGGCTGGTTACTCGCATATTTCCAGATACTCACCCGAGGCTCGATACCAACATATATCCAGATACCCACACGAGGCTAGCTACCTTCATATACCCGGCTCAGAGGCTATTTACTCGGATATTCCCGACCCCGGGGTTAGTTACTTGCATATACTCAGGTACTCAACCGAGGCTAGTGACCTGCGTCATTCGCGGGTAACTCTGGATAACAAAAATAAATTAGTCTTTTTTTTTTTTCTTTTTTTTTTTTGAAAACTGCGAGTAATTGTCTCATATGAGAGTCGAAAAAAATGCGTCATGCAGGGGTCGTAACAGATGCGACATGCTCAGTTTGTATACGGAGTTCGGGACAAATGCGTCTGACTAAGTCTCTGCGTGCTCTTACAACCTCATCAGTGTTAGTTTAAAAATAACAACGAAATCACGAGTCCCCTTTACACTTTTATATAACAACATACAGTTTTTTTAACAATTTGACCGCACCATCCCTTACAATATGGCTGAGATTACTCTCTTTTGAAACCGGGTAGAAATTGGCCACCAGCTCCATCTGCTGAGCGGAGCCATATCACATTTTCCTGCTTCCCTGGCTCCCCAAAACATCTAGTGAAGGACATTCGGTCAAAAAATGCGCTATAGTTTCTAGGACTAGGAAGCAGTGCAGGCAGGTCGGGTTCCTATTAGGGTGTAGCCTGTTGAATTATGTAAACCAAACCAGTTGTTTCTTGTGAGTTCTCCCCCACCCTCTAAATCCACAGTGGCTAGCTTTGAATTGGGAATATATGAGATAATGCGAGGCATGAGGGCAAGGTCAGAGGTCAGCTATTATAATATTGTTATTGTAGTAAGTCAATGCATGTAAGAAGACACAGTTGTGGTGGTAAGTGGTCGTCTTTAGAATATATATCCATCTAAACATGACACAGAAGGACGGGGACATTGGAAGATAGGGAAACAGGAAGATTGGACACAGCATGATGGGGACATTGGAAGATGAGGACACATGATGATGGGGACATTTGAAGAGAATACTTTGAAGATGGTGACACAGTGACATGGGGACATTGGAAAATAAGGACATTGGGAGATTTGGTAACAGGAAGATATGGACACAGGAATATGTGGAGCCAGGAAGAAATGGACACAGGAAGATATGGGCACAGGACTATATGGAGCCAGGAAGAAATGGACACAGGAAGATATGGGCACAGGAAGTTATGGACACAGGAAGATGTGGACACAGGAAGAAATGGACACAGGAAGATATGGACACAGAAAGATATGGACACAGGAAGATATGGACACAGGAAGAAATGGACACAGGGAGATATGGACGCAGGATAATATGGACACAGGAAGAAATTGACACAGGAAGATACGAACACAGGAAGATATGGACACAAGAAGATATGGACACATGAAGATATGGACACAGGAAGATATGGACACACGAAGATATGGACACAGGAAGATATGGACACAGGAAGATATGGACACAGGAAGATATGGACACAGGAAGATGGGAACACCGAATCGTTGAGTCGATTCATTGTTACATTGTTATGGAGTCCCGTTGGAGACTTTGAAAGGAAAAATAACCCGTTAATTAAGCCGAAGGTAAAGAAGAGATTTAAGTACATGTAACAATGTAAAGAAATCCCCAACTTCCTATTTTTTCTCCTTACCTGAAGTTTCTAGTTAACAGGGGAGGCTACAGTTTTCTCATTAGTGAAATATTTGTTTACATTTTTCTAAGAATGTTTACTTTAACATTACATCTATTCCTATATATACATCTTTAAACAGAAGTGTGCCGAGGTTGTGAGTGGTTGTTTGCTATACCGTTTTAAATTAAGTTCATAATTCCAAAGAAATCAGGTTTTGAGGACTATATCGTTTTATTGGTTCTCAGAGAAGGGCATTCAGAAAGAGAAGACATGTATGAAGTGGCCAGGGAGGCCGATGAAATGGCTAAGAGCTACTGTTGCATTCCAGCAGTCCCCTCCATCAATTCAAAGTCCACGCGTCGAATCTGACCTTCCGGATAAAGGACACACTTTGGAACAATGACTTCAGCGTCACGAGTTGGTTACGGATGGTCAATTGCCGTGCATCAGTGACCAAAGTAAAGGTTAAGGGTCGGCACGCAGCGTTGTGCTACTTTTAGCCGCCTCTGTGGGTGTGTACGTTTAACTGTCCAATCTTGGGTTGACCCTTGGCTATCAAACTGACACTGAGTGTGACGTTATTACTGTTCGGACACTTGAGAAGAGTTTGTGTTACCTTATTAAGATAAAGGGGCACCCTGATAACATATAATGAATAATTCCCGACTGGAGCTCTCTCGTCAGGCCCGCTCTGATTGCGCACCGTTTTGCGCTCTCATTCGCTGCTTCCTTCGTCGTGCGTTTGATCACGTACGCACCAACTGCACACAAATGATTTCATAGATGATCAACCTTGAATAGAGCTGGAAGTAATAATTGAAATAGAACTCAAAATGTGGTATTGACACATTTTAATTATTTTTTACGCACAGAGTGGTCCCTTTGCCTCAGCTAATATCTATATGTCTCCCTCTCTCTCTCTCTCTCTCTCTCTATATATATATATATATATATATATATATATATATATATATATATACATATATATATATATATATTCTATCTATAAAAATCACATTTTAATTATTTTTTACGCACAGAGTGGTCTCTTTGCCTCAGCTTATATATATATATCTCTCTCTCTCTCTCTCTCTCTCTCTCTATATATATATATATATATATATATATATATATATATATATATATACACATATATATATATATATACTAGCTGGGAAAACAGAAAGTTTTCTTGGGAGAGATTTATTATGGAGATTGTAAGGGAGGCTGTGAGAGATAATGTAAGGGACATTGTGAGAAATTGTCAAGGAGATTTTTAGAGAGATTGTGGGGTAGATTTTGATGAAGGATGTAAGGAAGATTTTGAGAGAGATGGCGTGGTAGATTGTGAGGTAGGCTGTAAGGAAGATTTTGAGAGAGGGAATTTCAGTGAGATTGACACGAAGGTTAAACCAGATAATGTGAGTGAATTGTAGATGATAGATTGACATATTTAGGTCAAACAGACATAATAGACTTACTAGCGTAATGGACCAACGCAACAAATGGACATACACAAACTGAATGGACAGACATTCGTAATGGAGTGTCACGCAAAATTGATATGCACCCTTAAAAGACAGACACGAAATGGACATACACATTTTATAGAGAGACACATATTATAGACAGACGCATGTCATGAACAGGCACTTATATAATGGATTGGCCCAAGTAATAGACAGAAACACGTCTACACGTAATATAAAAATGCCATGGACACCGAAAAATTAAAGATACCTGCGGTGGACCGACGCGAATTAAATAGACACGCAATTTGACATACGCACCTAATGGACGGACAAAAGGAAATTCAAACACATGAATAAGTGACACAGCTAAGAGTCAGACGGACATAACCAAATAATTTCATTAGAATATCATACACCATCTTTTTACACCATATTACTTACAACCAACAGCATAAATAAATTAAATTTATTAACCGAAAACGAGGACATCCTCGTAAAAGGAAATCAAAGCCCTCAATGTGTCAGGCGAATATTTGTCAATCATTTTCAATAATTATATCTAAATGATTAAAATAATTTTTGGGAAACAATATCGATTTTTACAGCCATCTCACTTGTCTTGACAGTTTCAATATCACATTGAACAATCTGACAGTTTCGCATCACAGCCAGGCAGCTTCAGATGAGAGTCAGTTGTGCATGTTAGCCACATTTACTTGACAGCCAGATGGTTCAAATGAGAGCCAGACGGTTTCACATGACAGCGAGACGGTTTCACATGACAGCGGGACAGTTTCACATGACAGACAGACATTTTCACATGACAGCCATACAGTTTCACATGACAGCAAGACAGTTTCACTTGAGAGCCAGACAGTTTACCATGACAGACAGACGGTTTCACATGAAAGCCAGACAGTTTCACATGACAGCCAGACAGTTTCACATGAAAGCCAGACATTTTCACATGACAGCCATACAGTTTCACATGATAGAGAGACGGTTTCACGTGACAGCCAGACAATTTCACATGACAGCCAGACGGTTTCACATGACAGTCAGACGGTTCACATGACAGCCAGACAGTTTCAAATGACAGCCATACAGTTTCACATGACAGCCAGACGTTTCACTTGAGAGCCAGACAGTTTCGCATGACAGGCAGACGGTTTCACGTGACAGCCAGACAGTTTCACATGACAGCCAGACGGTTTCACATGACAGCCAGACGGTTCACATGACAGCCAGACAGTTTCACATGACAGACAGACGGTTTCACATGACAGCCAGACAGTTTCACATGACAGCCAGACAGTTTCACATGATAGCCAGATAGTTTCACTTGACAGCCAGATTAATTCACATGACAGACAGATGTTTTCAAATGACATTTCTTCGAGCGTGAACACCAGGCGTACGTGGCATCGATTTTCACATGACGACCAGTTTCAAATGACAGACTGTATCACATGACAGCCAGACTGTAATCACATGACAGCCAGACTGTATCACATGACAGCCAGCCCGTTTTACATGACAGGCAGTTTTACACGATTGTTCTACAAACCTACTCACAGTATCACAATACAGTCTCATAATTTTAGGTAATTGTCTCACACTCAGTGTACCAGTCTCACATGATGGTCTCACAAACAGTGTGTGCTGTCGCATTACACTGATAATCATTCAACAGTTTTAAATTTCTAATCATGATGGTGCAGTCTTCGATACCATCACCGTTATCTGGCTGGCTGGGCTTGTAGATGGTTCTCAACCAGGTGTCGCTGATGACCTCCTTGTTGTCCACCCACACATACCTCCCCTCCGACTCTATGTCGTCCAGCCCCACCCAGGCGTGAAATGTGATCAAGTTTTGCAACATCTTGAACTTGTCGTAAGTCCTTAACGTGTAAAGATGAGAGCCACATGACCTGCACAGCTCTTCTGCCGATTCGTGTGTCCTTTTTTGTGTGTCGTATATCAGACACACGCGAGTCGTATTGTGGGTGTACAGGGAGAAGTTGAGGCGTTCGTCGCAGTTGTAGCCGACGTACAGATCGCCCTCGCTTTCACTCGGCAGAGCCTCGCTGGTGTTGAGCCACCCTCCAGGCGTGCAGAGTTGAGTGACGTTGTTGTACAGCACGCTCTGACACTGGGAATCGAATCTTGGGGAAAAAATCACGAAAATTTAAAATTATTCAGTTAGATATATGTTAATTTCCATTGTTGACAAGCTAATTTTATAATGTCGGTCAGCTTCTTAACGATTGTCACGATCTATTGATGCCAGCATATTCCAAAATGTAGCTTGTCATTAGCTGTCAACTCTTGGGATCGTTCTTCTTACAGTTATCGTTTATTTTTTGTGGTGAAATCATGCGAAGTTTTCGTTAACCTAAACCAAACTATAACTACTGAAGTCATGATGTTTTGGAAGATATAAACACAGCAAAGTAGTCACCAGGTTTTGTCATTTGTCAAATCTATAATTAAAACATTCGAGCGTCTGGTCTGGTCAATCTCATTAAGATATAAATAGAACACCCTGGTATTCCGTTTGGCAAAGCTCTCAACAGCTGTTCGGTGCTTCCACGTTAATACGAGACTTAAACTAGAAGCAAAAGTGTTTATAACTCTATTTTATGAAAGATTTTACAAAAAAATAGTTACTGATGTAGAATGAAGATTGAATACTTTTATAGCCACTGTGTCCATGCTGTTTTTAGCTCTCTGACGTCCTAAATATATCTAAAGAAAAAAAGTCTTTAAATGGTTCTTAAATGACTTTTTATCATTTTTAATGTCCCCAAAGGTTGAGGCAAACCTGTTCCCCAATGCAGGCGCATTAGCTTCAAAAGTGCGCACTCCGTATGATTTCCTTTTGTGTCCATCCACACTGGGAACTCTCAGTAAGGACTCTGTTGAAGACCGCAGGTACCGTATCGATATATGTTTTTTTAAATCAGTTTTTGCATATATGCAGGCTCAGAGCCTTCTATACAGCTATAAGCCAGGGACAGAATTGTGTGGTCAATATGCTCACTCATCGGAAGCCATCGGATATCTTTTATAACTGGGTTGATGTGGTCAGATCTCTCTACACGCGATACAATGCGTGCTGCAGTATTGTGTACCATCTGGAGTCTCTGAATTTGGTTTTTAGGTAAAACCCCCAAAACAACTCTTACAGTAATCTAAACTTAGGGAAATACATTGTTGGAAGCTATGTTTTACGAAAATTAAATGTTGTCTAAAAATAACATTACGTCATGCTATGTGACGTTTTCCGGTCTTAGGAATGATAAACCACTTATGCAAATAAAGCAATACGTTTGAATTCATCTAAATGGGCCTTTAGTAGTTACCATTGATATTGAAGGGCTAAGTCCTTGCACAGCAGAGGTTCTCAACCTGTGATAACAGTGGGTAAATGAGCAGTATTTTATTTGTAAGTTTGTGGAATAAAAATATAATTAAGAAATTTTGTGTCGATGGTGCTCATTTGACTAGAAAAGTGGTCCATGGACCTCAGAAGGATAAAGAAGGACAGCGTTCAAGCTGGGGAAGGAAATAGTAGAAAAAGTTAAGTGGAAGCTTGAATCAAAAGACAGGACAATGAGAGAATAACGTATCAGCTTAGACCCTTCCTCAGGCGCAGGACACATGAAAAAGCGACAAAATATGTTTGCAACTCCTGTGGCGAAATTCGAGCCAAGTTATATCGACAGTAGTCAATCCCTTGTACATGAAAGGCGGGATTTGCTGCATTGGGCAACAGCTGGTCTTCTTAAAACATGGGCCAGGAGTCCCTTAAAACTCATCTGTTTAGGTCCGCCTATGACCTGTGATGCACCCTCGTTGCCCTACCTAATTTTCTGTTTCGGCTTAATCCTGAAGTGTCAAAGTGTCCTCTTTTTATAGCCATTTTCATTGTTTCTATAGAATAGTAGTTACTATCCTAGTGTCTCATTTGTATTTACTTAGTTTACATGTTTTAATAATTGTAAAGCGCTTAGAGCTTTATGATAAGCGCTATATAAAAATGCCTAAATAAATAAATAAATAAATAAATAGCTGCACTTGCGATGATGCTTCACGTGCAGCTGAAATTTTTGTAAAAAATGTTTAAAATCAACGAAAGCGAGATCATCGCTTAGCACATTTCCAGCTTGCGAACATCAGTGTATAAAGGACAAAAAAAAAAAGGGCAGAAGATGTGCGCAATGAAGCTCTTCAAACAAAAAGATCACTATGGAAGGTCAAAATTTAACCTGGAGTCAAGGTTCCTGCGAGAAATGAAGATAAGACTCTCAGACATGGATCTACCACCTAAACTATTTTATGAAGAATCGAAAGCTATAATCCATCGTTTTCCTAAGAGTAATGAAAACAAAATACAAACTTTTACCTTCGGACGCAGCTGGCCATGCATGACATCAAAGACCTGTCAGTCCAGCCCATGTCCAGACGACCAGGTCCCATGCTTGGATCAATTCGAAGATAAAATTGTCTGCCTTGGTGCGCTGTTGTGATAATAAATCATTCAATATTAAATTGGAATGAACGAGCATTAACTTAATAGACAATATATTTTAATAAATATGCAAACGTTTTCAAATAACGAGTTGCTTATCAAATTTCGTAAACATGATGAATCTTAAGGCATATGCACATTCTATAATGCACTTGAGAATCTATTGTTGAAGTTGATTATTGAACTATTAAGTCAATCTGATTTTAACAAATTATTATAATATTGAATAAATCCATATATATAAATCGCCAAAAGTAGGGCAAACAAGAAGACGACGACCACGCAGGCTATATATAGATAAGCCAGAGCAAGCAAGACGCAAGCAAACCCTCCCCTTTCTTCCCTTGCCTGCCCATCTTTGGTCTCGAGACGTGCGGCCTGCAACGGAGCTACCGCCTCCCCCCCACCCTGCACCACCCTCGCTTGCCAGACATGCGCACACCCCAATAAGCTCGCGGCGTCTGCTAAGCCGCGGGTCAGCTATATTTATAGAATTCATGGGCGTGAAATAAAAAGTGTACAGTGAAGTATCATGAAAAGGGGATGGGGAATGGGGTGTAGCAAAACAGGCATTCATACATGTGCGAAACTTGAGTAGATGGGAAGTTCACGCATTGTTGTCGCCAATGTTTGGCGGGCTATATCTAGTTTTAAATATTCTTCAATTAATGTATTCATTCATAAGATAACAAAACATCCAAGCCCACGGCAAATGCTATTATGTAATTGTTTTGATATATGATGCATAGTCGATGATTATTGCTATTTGAATGGTTCATCATCATCATCATCATTATCATCATGTCCCTTAGTCCTTGGACCGTTGGGGCGCCACAGATGACATGTGAACCATCATCCTCCATTCGTCTCTGTCTTCTGCACAACGCACAGCATCGCCCAGTATTAGTACCGTCCACTCTTTGATGTTATCCTCCGATCTTTTTCGTTGTCTTCCTCTTCTTCTCCCTCTTCTTGTGGTGCCCTGCAATATTTCTTTAGCAAGCCTTGGTTTCCTTGTTACGTGGCCGTACCATTGTAGTTTGCGTTTTTGCATAGTCACCAGCAGGTCATCGTACTCCTCAATTGCCTGACGAATCCTTTCTGTCACTGTATCATTTGAATGGCTAAGTCTCATATTTTTGCGTTTTATATTTTAGTGTCTGATGATTTAGTATTTTATATTTTATTTTCTTATGATTTAGTGTCTCATGTTTTAGTGCTTTACTTTTTAGTTTTATGTTTTAATGTTTTATGTTTTAGTGTCTTATGTTTTAGTGTCTTACATTTTTGTGCTTATGTTTTAGTGTCTTATGTTTAAGTGTCTTATGTTTTAGTGTTTTCTATTTTAGTGTTTTGTTGTTTTATATTTTAATGTCTTTTGTTTTAGTGTTTTCTATTTTAGAGTTTTATGTTTTTGTGTCTTATGTTTTAGTGTTTTTATATTTTAATGTCTTATGTTTTAATGTTTAATATTTTGTTTCTTATATTTTAGTCTCGTAGGTTTTAGTGTCATAGATTTTATTGTCTTATATTTTAATGTTTTATAGTTGAGTGTTTTATGCTTTTTTAATTATGTCTAGTTTCTTTTTTAGTGTATAATATTTTGATTTTCATGTTTTAGTGTCTGGTGTTTTAGTTACTTTAGTTTTAATTTCTCATGTTTTAGTGTCTCATGTTTTAGTGTCTCATGTTTTAGTGTCTCATGTTTTAGTGGCTCATGTTTTAGTGTCTCATGTTTTAGTGTCTCATGTTTTAGTGTCTCAGGTTTTAGTTTCTCATGTTTTAGTGTCTCATGTTTTAGTGTCTCATATTTTAGTATTTTATGTTTTAGTTCTCATGTTTTAGTGTCTCCTGTTTTAGTGTCTCATGTTTTAGTGTCTTATGTTTTAGTGTCTCATGTTTTAGTGTCTTATGTTTTAGTGACTTAGGTTTTAGTGTCTCATGTTTTAGTTTCTTATTTTTTAGTGTCTCATGTTTTAGTGTCTCATGTTTTAGTGTCTCATATTTTAGTGTCTCCTGTTTTAGTGTCTCATGTTTTAGTTTCTTATTTTTTAGTGTCTCATATTTTAGTGTCTCATGTTTTAGTGTCTCATATTTTAGTGTCTCATGTTTTAGTTTCTTATTTTTTAGTGTCTCATGTTTTAGTGTCTTATGTTTTAGTTTCTTATTTTTTAGTGTCTCATGTTTTAGTGTCTTATGTTTTAGTGTCTCATGTTTTAGTGTCTCATGTTTTGGTGTCTCATGTTTTAGTGTCTCATGTTTTAGTGTCTCATGTTTTAGTGTCTCATGTTTTAGTGACTTATGTTGTAGTGTCTCATGTTTTAGTGTTTCATGTTTTAGTGTCTCATGTTTTAGTGTCTCATGTTTTAGTGTCTCATGTTTTAGTGTCTCATGTTTTAGTGTCTCACGTTTTAGTGTCTTATGTTTGGAGTGTTCTCCGATAGTAGCACAAATAATTAATTTTGAGTAAA